GTGTTGTGTTATGCTTTCATTTTCTTTTTTCTGAACTGTTCAAGCAACCCGTCTCCTTACAAAGCATACTATACTAGCAATATTTGTGCTACTAAATCGTAATTTTCATCAATAAATTTCTAAAAGATGGTCATGTATCTGACAAAAAGAGTGCATGTTTCGCGGAGTTTTACGTATAGCTTGTTTCTTTCATCTCCAAACTGTTCACTGATTTCTGCAGAAAGCAGTTTTGCAGTCATAAAAGCAACAGGCATCTACCATTAAATTGCACTTATGGACGGTAAACTGAGCACTAGTTACCACCACCAACAAAGATCGTCTAGAGCTTTCGAATTCCAAGTGTTATTCTTCTTTTTTTTCAATCAGAACAATGTTTTTTATGAATTGACTATGTGATCGTTGGTTCATCCGTTCATAGTGGTTTTGCTTGCTGTATTATTTTGAGCTTCCCATTGCCACCACAGCAACTTTATACCTACTAGTCAAATCTACTAAGAAAATGCATGATTAGGGTCTTGAAAGTAGCTAAGAATAGTAGAGTGATAGTAATGGCCGCCCACCGTATTTAGTATCTTTGAATTCCACCAATAAATTTAATTTTTTTGGACAGTGTTCGCAAATATGACAACATTATCAGCATAGAAAATGCCTCTAATCTGGATATTTTTACGATGGTACAAAAACTAAAACTGAAGTTTTCAACAGGATTAAGAGAAAATTACGGCAGTGCGGTGCAATCAATAATTTTTTAACTCTCAAAGTTGGTGGATGTGCGTTGTGTTTTGTCGTTAATTGGGTTGGACTTCAGGGTTCATTCTTTTAACTTTTCTTAAAATTTTTGGCAGGCATTTTTCATGCGAATGGATGTTTTCTGGAATATGCCAGAAGGAAATGAAGTTATGCTAGGGCATACGCTGGATGCACACCCTGCCAAATATATGAGTTCCAATTCTTTCTATCGTTTTTCAAAAAGTACCCATTCAGAAATCCAAATTTTAACCTCAAATCAATAAAATAAGTATTGTGTGCATCTCATGATCACGAATAACAAGTATTTCCATTAAATTATGAAAAAGCACACCAGTAAGATCGATGAGAGCATTCAAAAAATCGCTTGCTTGCTCTCATGAAACTTGATACATAACCGATATGCAGTTTTAGTCGCTCCCTGGAATATAACGGACGTAGCTGTTACGTGCGTGCGTGTAAGCAGCAAAAGGAGTATATAGCTTTGTGGTTTGTCCCAGAACCGAACAAGGGTTGTACATATTCTTTTCTTACCGGCAAGTGTTCTGTAATTTTTGTTGTGAAACATCTTTGTGATGATGGTGCCAAAGTGTGAAAAGGAAATGGAGGGCACAGATCTTTCAAAAGAGCGGTGTTAGTGCCTCGGATAATGGGTTGAGATGGGCAACAAAAAACGATTGTTATGGAGAGCTTTGATGTCGGAGCGGGACGAACTCGTTACAGGAATCGAAGCTTCGGCGGTGGCTCATTTGGGGTCTCTAAAAACAATAGGGGAAGTTCTTTTCGGTGAACTTTGTTTGTTTGTTTCTTCTAGCATTGTTTTTATGGCTCGTTCAGCGTTGTTCATTGTTCTCTCTATAAAACGCCTCTTTGAATGGTTTGAAAGCGTCTGTTCTCAACACCAGCTTGTTTATTTACGGACAGTTCAGGTATGATCAGTGAGAAGATCAGACGAAAAGTAAAGTGCACTTTCGGTATAGGAAATCATAGAAAGGAAGTTCCATTGACGATCATTGCACCAGAGTGATGAACTCTTTATATCGGTTCACCGAAGTAAATCATCAATGATTGATAAGTGAGAAGAGATAAGCGTTTTGTAGGATTATTGAGACTCTAGATTAACGGTGCTTAAGGTGCTTAACGATGTGCTCAGTTGTAACATAAAAGGGTCAATTTTTGCATCTTAGCTGTCATTATTCACATTTACTTCTTTCAACGTAGTTCATCTCTTCCTTTTGCACAAGCTTCTTTTTGTTTTTTTTCCTTATCTTTTCTTTTTTATTATAGTTCTGCTGTTGATAAAATTTGTGTTATTGTTGAAAATCATATTTTTGGCAGGATTTGAGCATTTTAGATACGTTTGAAACATTGTTTGGGAAGGGCAAAACCGTAGTAAAAATGATATTTTTGTGCATAGAACATATTGAACCGCATTAGGACATTTCAGATTTGTCTAGTAAAAAAATTTTTTCTTCCGTTTTAACAGTCTTATTGTTAAAAAAAAAGGACAGTCCGGAACAATGTCGCTTTTCATGTTGTCCAATTAGCAGCTTGACTGAATGTAGAAAAATTCTAGAGTTGTACCTTCAGTGGTAGGAGTCCTTTTTGGACCAGCCATTGCTAGAAACTGATGATAAAAAGTCATCTAGTAGGAAATCGTTTAAAGCCAACTAGAGATGCTGTACGTAATCCGGACTTTATGTAGCCTTGCCTTCATAGTTCGTCAGTGTTTTCATAGTTGTTTGGCTTTAGTTTCACTATTTCCTCAGTATCAAAATTAGTTGTTTGTGTTTTAGACCAAAATACTGTTAATTCTTGTGCAGTTTCTGTTTTCTGTTCATATGAACTTATGGGTTATTGTCATACCGATGTTTAAGTTTCCCAGACTAAATCAGCTTTTTAGCAAGAGGACTGAGGGCTGTTTTAGGTGTCATATCTGCGGTTAAAATTGATGGCTGCTGGTTAAATTGTTGGTACAAGAGAAGTTCTTAATTTAAAAAGCACATTAATCTTTATTCCGCAATGTCAGAGGTCTCGTTGCTAGCAAGATTCTTTATGGTTTTACTTTGGTTACCTGTATTGTGTGCAATGCCTCCGGAAACAAATATGAATGTGGTAAGGTTTCACAGACTAATGCTAAGGTGGAGAATCCTTAGGAAAATAAAGCCTTTAAGTGCTATGCGACAGGTCTTTTGACTAATTTGATCATTCAATGCCTATCTTTAGATTGAAATTATTGCTTATCATGGCTATCCTGCAGAAATTTTTACTTTTACGACACCAGACGGTTATATTCTTGAAGTACATCGAATACCATGCGGAAAGACTGGTAATTGTACAGTTGGACTGTAGTTGTACATTTTTAGTGCTGTTTCATGTTAGCTATGGATGAACAACATACAGAAATTTTTGGAAATGAATGATGATATATTAATATAATTGAAAAAAATATTTTTTCGCAGATTTACGAACATGTGAAAGTAAAAGACGACCGGTAATTTTTTTCCAACATGGGCTACTGGGTTCAAGTGCTGATTGGGTTACCAATTTACCAAATCAGTCGGCAGGTGAAGTTTAGATACTTTTTTTGAAATCAAGACCTAATTCATCACTTGTGCGAAGTGATAAACCGTGTTTTTAAATGTGGACCAGAAATTGCTGTTTGAAGCAGGAAATAAAGTGAATTGCAGAAGAAGACGACATTTAGAGCAAAATTTAGAGAAGGATCTGATAGCTGTCGGTAATTCGGTGCTGCGATATCGCGCAATAGTTTACTTTCAAACTTTTGCTACAGCCAGCCGTTTATGCTCCTGTTTGAATTACTTCATTCTTCTATCTTTTCAGCTTTTTTTCTTTTTTTTTTTTTTCGTCTTTCAACATCATAGCATTGTTGCATCAGGTCTTTTCTTCATGTTTGACTCTTATCTTTGGTGGCCAAGCAATTTTTTTTTGGAAATATCAAAAACTTAAGATAAAAAATAACATTCTTTATGTCTTCTTAGTGAATTCAGCTTCCCTTTTAAAGTATCCTAGCCTAGTACTACAGTAAGAAAGCGGTTTCTATATTTTGCGATGCTCGGTGGAAATGGGCTTCTCTAGCTCGTAAACTGTAATACCATTGGAAATTTTAGTTTCCGAACTTGATTTTGTTTTTTAATAAGTCTTTTTTAAAGAGTTCTTTAACTGAATACAATTCTTCAATCACATACAGTACCAGTTTTTCAGTAAATGTTGAAATGAGCTCAACAATATTTTTTGTTTGGCTGTCTGCTAATAATTAAATTCTGTACAGTACTTGTCAGTAGTAGATGGCTTAAAAAGTTTTTTTTATTATTTCAGTTGAAAGTAGAATAAAAATTACGCTTAAGAAATATGTTTTTTTTTTTAGGTAATTTTGTAAAAGAAAAATTTAAAAAAAGGGGATAATCAAATAATAATATAAAGTTCTGCATTTTTTTTTGTAGCTTTTCTGTTTGCTGATGCCGGTTTTGATGTTTGGATGGGAAATATCAGAGGTAACAAATATTCAATTTGGCATAAAAACTTTACTTCCAGTGACAAAGTCTATTGGCAGTTTTCGTAAGTTATTTTGCAGGGTTCAGTTTCTTTGGGTTTTATTATTGTGCAAGAGGTAATTGTTATTCTTCTAATCTGCATCAGATACAGGTTTTCTTGTTAGGTCCTTTATTCTGTTGAAGATAAAGTGGCACTTCAGATGGGATGAGATGGCAAATTTTGATCTGGAAACAATGATAAATGGTGTTTTGGAAGTAACTGGTCGTGAAGACCTCTATTATGTTGGACACTCGCAGGGAACGTTGATTATGTTCGCTAAGCTTTCAAATGACCGTCTTTTTACGAAAAAGGTTTTAACGGGCTATCTTACAGCAGTTATATGCCAGTTAATTATATTTTAGGATTAAGTTGCAACTACACAGTGAAATCTCAAATTGTTGGCTGAAAAGCGGCTTATATTGTGCAATTACTTTTATAGATACGGAAATTCTTTGCTTTGGCTCCAGTGGCAACTGTGGGTCATATTAAGGGTTTAATTCACTACATAGCCGAACACTTCTTGAAACATCCAGTTAGTTGCTGCAGTAGTTGGAGTAGCGAAGTTGAAAACTAACTTTCTACTTTTTTTCCCTACCGATGAAAATTTCTTCATTAAATTTGTTACAAATTGACTGGAGGCAATCAATTTCTTGTTTGCTACAAATGAATCTTTTCGAGATTATCGTCTTTTCCAAAGTATTAATGAAATTTTCATTGCCCACCGGCAGCTTATCATTTCCAGTTAGCTGAAATTATTTTTGGAAACAAAGATTTTTTGCCGAACACCCGGTTTTCAAAGATGATTAGCGAACTGATGTGCGGGATTCACTACATGAATCCATTATGTGATAGCGTTCTCTTTCAAATTGCTGGCCCCGAAAGCAATCAGTTCAACCAGGTATTTATTTACTTGATGTTCATTCACTTCTACATTTACATATGTTGTTTACTTTTCGTTGGGGATACGAACTTTGCAGTCAGAGTTTTCAACACCCATTCTTTATTGAGGTGGAATCGCTGAATAATCACAGAATTTGAAATTATAAACGACGGTATTTCAGTCTCGAGTCGTGGTCTATTTAACTCATACACCAGCCGGAACATCAACACGAAATATTTTTCATTGGTCACAAATGGTAAAGAGCAAAATGGTGCAAAAATATGACTATGGAACAAATGAAGAGAATTATCGTCATTATGGACAGGTTCCGTCTCGATGTTTGGTTCTCTCGATATGATCCTACAGAAGGACAAAGGAATTTTGCTAACAACGTTTCAAACGTTCTTATCGTATGGCACAGGAAAAACCAAACATTTTTTTATTTCAGCCAACTCCACCAGTTTACAATCTTACAAATATAGATGCTCAAATTTACATTTTTTGGAGCGACAAAGATTGGCTTGCCGATCAAACGGATGTTGAGGTCTGCATCTTTGTGACTACAAAATACTGTTTTGTAAAAATGAAGCAGTGAAAGTCACATGTCATGGAACAAAGTTTTTACAATTATTGTTTTTCTGTAGCAGCTTTGATTTCTTATTTTTTTGTCGTTTAGGATTCACTGCTAAACGTCCTTCGACCGTATTGTATGAAAAATGTTTCTCGTTTGGTTGACTTCAATCATGTGGATTTTATTTGGGGCTTAAGAGCTGCAGATGAGATATACAAACCAATATTACAAACAATAAAAATACACGAGCAACGAAGAAAAGTTTTTTAAAAGATTATGATGACTATGGATAAAAAATTTGGAAAACAAAAAAAAAAAAAAAAAAAAAAAAAAA